ACGGTCCGGCAGGCGATGGCCACAGCAGGACTGTAGAGACTCGTGGTCATCCTGACCATGTGGTCCAGGACGCCCCCATCCTCCAGGCCCTGGCGCGAGCGGGAGGCCAGCGAGGACCGCACAAACTCCGTGAGCCTCTGCAAGCAGTTTTTGGAGCTCCCTGGCTTCAGAGCCCCCTCGAGGGGCAGCGGCCGCCTTGGGCTGGTACTTTTTCCCCAAACTGCTCCGGGCAGGGGCCGCTCCCAGCAGCCCTCCCCGATGAGGGCGCACCGCCTCCGTCCCCCCCCGTGTAGGTGGGCCCACTCCCTGGGGGGGACATCCCCGGGGGGGGGGGCCCCTGGCGTTGAACTTCCGCCCCTGAAAAAAAAAGAACGGTTATGATGGAGGGCCGCAGGGGGAATGAAAACCAAGGTCAAACCTTTCCAAAACTTAAAAGCAGGGCTCCTCGCCCCCAGCCAAGGTGGACAAACCTGCCTCCGGCCGCCCCCTGCTGGAGTTTTCTTGTAATAACACAACCCCACCTTTACCAGGCTCCCGCTTAATGGGCTTTCTCTTTTCTTAAATAAAAACCACCCCGACCCTGGGCACCGAAACATGGGGATTTTTGAAGAAAGGGGATTTCTTTGGCTTTCCAGCATTGGAGAAGATGAAGACAACACAGGTGCCCTGTGAACAGGGTGACGGTTGCTGCTAGAATGTCCAAAAAATCCAACAGTCTGGGTGCCTTGAATCTAATTAGTACGGCCTTTTCGGCCCCCGCCCCCCACCCCCCCCCCCCCCCCATGGATCTCTGTGAGGATGGTATGGTTGTGATCTTGCAGAAATGGAAGGCCGTGCATTTCTCACACTGAGTGGTGAGTTGGTGGTGCCTCTTTCCCAGACTATGAGCTCCTCCAGTACGGAGGCCATACCTCACTTTTATTTTCTCACCACACAGCATACCGGCTGATGGGAGGCAAACATTTAATAAAAGTTTGTTCCTGGATGGATGGTGGTCACAGTGACCGAGGAACCTGCCTGAGCTCTCGAAGCTGGTAAGAGAGAAGTCCATGACCCTCAGCCCAGGCACTTCCCACCCCACCGAGCAGGCCTGTCCTCGGTGACAGTTTCCTGTGTCAGCATGGTCAGGCTCTAGGACTCGGGGATTTAATTAAACACAAACCGGGTGTGCTGTGAAGGTATTTTGTAGATGAGGTTAACATCCACAATCGGTTGACTTGAAGTCACGGAGACTGCCTGAGATGATGTGGGTGGGCCTTGTCCAATCGGCTGATGGTCTTAAAAACAAACGCTGAATTTCCGGAGAAGAAGGACTGCAGCATCAGCTCCTACACCGGTGTCTCGCCCACTGGCCTGCCCTGCAGACCTCGAGCTTGCCAACTCTCAAACCACGACGTAAGCCAGTTCCTTATATCTCTTAATAAACGTCTTAATATACTAGTATATCACTCATTGGTTCTGTTTCCCTGGAAAACCCTGACTCTTACATCCTCACAGTCTCACTTACACTAGTCACTTCCTTAATAAAGCCACACCACCCACCGGGCCCTCCTAATCCTTCATAAGTTTCAGAATTAATAAGGAATTGCTGTTCAATTCATCTTGGTCCAATCTCAGCCCCACATACAGTTAAAAATCACTCAGGATTTCAAATCCCATTAGTCATGTTTCCACGGGCAAAGTGATGCAGAGAAGTGGGGCGATAATCTAGTCTGCGAGCTCCCCGGGACCAGGCTGGCTGAGACCTCCGTTCCACACAGACCCAGGGGTCTGACTGTGGTGACTGGTCGATATGTGCTGAACCGAGCAGAGCAGGGGAGCCCGGCAGCCCCATGGCCCAGGGCCCAGGCAGATCCAGCTCCCCCGGTTTCACCTGGTAATGCTCCTAATTCTGTGACACATTAAAGAATAGCCATATTAGAAGAGTGGTAATTATTTGGAACTGGAAATCAGGGTGGAACTCATTAGCTACAGTACAATTTATAAACGGACTGAAATGAAAAGGGGGCAGTAAAAGTGTCATTGCAAAAAATAGATGACACATTAAACCTTAATTAATTGCATGTCACTTAAAAAGGAACAAACTGCAAAATTAAAATCTTAATGAACACTGCTTGAAAGAGACATTTTTCAAATGCTAACGGAAAACCAAAGGAGCAGCTGTCCAAGGTTTAGCACGCCTCTTCTGTGCCTCGTGTACCTCTTCGAGAGGATCCTGGAAAAATACAAACATTCTAAAGGACAAAGGCCATTCTAACTGTAACACAGCCCAAGAATCTGATTCCTGTGATGAGTCAGGGAATCGCTTCCTTAAGAAATTACTGTTTAGGATAATATTAATGCCCTGGACGTAGTGATTAAATCCTGAGAGAAAAGTTCTGATGATTAACACGTTATACATACAGTATACCTTTCAGAGAATATGGAAAACTTCCGAAACACCACTGTATCCACCTTCTCCCCATGAGACTACTGGCCTCCTCACCTCTTACCCAATTTATTTTGCCCAGGACGCCAGCCATGCAGACAGAAGCAGGGCTCCTGCCAGAGGGCCCATTTGCTGCCCATGTTGAGTGCTCTGAGAGGCCTACACAAATCCTCTGTTTTACTCAAGGGAGCAACTTGCTCAGTTCTAAGCAATGCGCCATAATTGGTCTTTCCTGGGCTTTCACAACCTCGGCACTATCGACATTTGGGCCAGATGGTTATTTGCTGTGGGGGCTGGCCTGTGCACTATAGGGCTGGTAACAGCATCCCTGGTCTCCACCCACTAGATGCCAGGAGCATTCCACCAATTGTGAAAGCCAAAAACATCCCACAACTGGCCCACTGGAATCCCGGTGCCCATTTGAGCCCCAGAGAGAAGGCCTTTGCGTCCTGCTGAAGGACCAATGTGGTTGGGCTGCTGCTTTCTGCCTGAAGCAGGAACCTGCAGCCTGAAGCTATGATGACCATCCTGCAATCATGAGGTGGCCAGACAAGCAGCTTGGGGCTAAGTGGACAAGAGGAACTGGGTCTGTGATGTCCTCAGGGCCCTGGACCAACTCTGTGTGGTGACTGCCTACCTCAAAACTTCCAGAGGTGAGAAAAATGCACGCCCATTCTCTTTAAACCACTGTCAAGTCAGGATTTCTGTTCCTCGCAGCAGAAAGCATTGCAAACAGGTCCTAAAGGAAGACAAGCTACCTTCCATCACTCATTCTGAGGATGCTTTTCCCAGGTGGTCATGGCCAGGTCCATGGGACCAGCAGGACACGGGCAGAGTCCAGGAGGCATCACTTCCTCCCCTATTCCTCCCACCCCCATCCCCACGTTATCTGTGCTTCAAAGCCCAGCCCTGTCTCCCTCCTGCCCAGAGGCCTTTCCAGCCACAGAGGACCACTGTGCACCATTCCTTGCAGGCCTCCTCCTTTCCCTGCTGGCCTGTATCTTGAGGTCTAATCACTATGACAAGTCAGGATGCAGGGTCACAGGAAAGAGCTCCCGACGGGCATCAGATCCTCTACCCTCCAGCCCTCTGCACAGGGGGGAACTGCCGAAGATTTAATGCGCCCAAGAGCTCCCCTGCCCTGAGGGACCCCGGTTGGAGGATAAATACCCTGGCTTCCCTGGCCCTCCCTGAGAGGCATTTCTGAGATGTCTTGCACTAGGTCTTGCACTAGGTTCTAGGCAGGGCTGCCCACAAGGGTCACCAGCTCCTCAGCACAATATTAGCTTTCCTGTCGTCCTGGTCTCACTTCTCTCTCCTTCACACCACTTCCCAGGGTCATCCTCCAGAAAAACGACTTGGCCCCAAGTCCTTGCCCCGGGGTTTGCTTTCATGGGCATCCATGCTAAGACACGGCCCTGGATGATATGGAATGCTTAGTGTTTAGCCCTCTTTCTGCTTAACAACTTGAAACTATTCCAACTGGGCAAATTCTGTTGATGGGAAAGTCATGCTTCCCTTATAAGCAGAAAGAAACCTCGTAGTGATATCCTACCCTTTGGCTTTCCAGAAGTACACAGTCAGGGCCAGCCTAGGACAACGTGACCACACGGTCAGTGCCGTAATGTGAGTGCCTCTGTCCCCTCTTCCTCATGAAGCACGCCTCCCACCTTCTGCTTTGTTCCCTGGAACCACAGACGACTCCACGTTTTTTGTTTGCTTGGCTTCGCTTCCCAGGAGCGGCAGCAATGACACCCCCCCTCGGGTGTAAGCCCAGGGCTCATAAGCAAGTCTGGAACCTGCCTGCCTCCGCAGAGTCTGTCTCTCTTCAGAGACAATCACGTCCTCCATACGGCTTCCCAGCGCCGCTTACTTCAACAGGCCTGTCACTGTGAGCATTAATATTCTCCTGAATTAACAAGGTGCCGCAGCCTGCCCTGCGATTCTCATCAGCAGAGCTGGCGTTGCTCCTTGGGAAGCCAGAAACCAAAGAGCCAATAAATCAGCTTTTCAGAACCTGGTTATATGGTTATTAAAATCCAAGGTTCTGATCATTCTAACATTCCTTTATTCTGCCTGACACAGTAAGATAAGAGCTGATGTGTGTCTGTAAGTTCTGAACTATTGGAAAAGGTAAGCAGTTCAGGGGGGCATCCAGTTCAATGACGCGTCATTTCTAAAAGGAAAATAGTTCCTATTGAATATAATGAAATTGCAACTCGGAAATTCATTCGGTCACAGAGGAACACTGCCCTTGACAAAATGAGGACGAGCTGCACATTTTTACCCCAACCTTGAATGTGTAGTAACGCTGATGCCTTTCGCTTTGAAATGGCCACAGGGCGACCATCCTGTGACCAGCTCTCAAGGTACCTTTTGCAGCTGCACATAAATGCCAGTCCTAAAGAAATACTCAGGCATTTGGACCTTTCAAAGCTTTAACTTTTCCTAATTTGATGTATTAAATGGAAATAAGTCAAAAATACTTGTGCACGTTTTTAAAATACCTTTCATTTAACAAGTATCCTTATTGCTGTCCACCAAACCCAGGAAAGACATTCAATCACACTTTTTTCTCTTAAAGCATACATACACATCTACCAGAAGAGGAAATGAAACTCACTTACCTGGGGGAAAAGAACTGTAAACTAACTTAGTAGTAACAGTAGAACATGGAAATATTCTGGAAGTTAGATACTACAACCAAAGTCCCAAGGGGTGGAGCAAAAGCTCCCCAAGAAAGGTGTCAGGTTTTTCTTTGAAGAAGGAATATAGGGCAAGATGGAAGGAGAAAGTATATAAGAGGGGGAAATTCCACCTTTTCGCACTTACACTAGTTACATCAGTGGTTCTCATCAGGAGGCAACTGTATCCCTCAGGGGATGGTTGCCAATGTCTGGGATAACTTTGGTTGTCAATCCTGGGGGATGCTGCAGTCACCTGTTGTCAAAGGCCAGGGAGGCTGCTGAGCATCCTACTAGCCCCAGCACAGCTCCCAACCACCAAGAATTACCTGGCCCCAAATGCCAATAGTGCCAAGATTAAGCAATCCTGAGTTACATGCCTGTCGCCCTCAATAAGAAAGTTTAAGTATCTCATCACAAGGATATATTTCAAAGGGAAAAATATACCATATTTTTTCATGAATGTAACCGATAATTACTGAATACATAAATTCACCAAAAATGATAACAACAGCAGCAACAACCAACATGGACTGAAGGCTTCCTCCATCCCAGGCACGAGTCCAAGGGCGCCCACACGGGAACTCATTCAACCCCCATCCTGACTTCCTGCAGCAGCTGCTGTCCTTCGCCTCATTTTATAGAAGGGGAAACTGAGGCTCAGAACACTAGGTGATTGACCGTTGGTACGGACATGGTAAGTGGAGGAGCTAGAATCTGAAGCCAGGGGTCCGGGCTTCCAAGTATGTTCTGTTGACCATTCTGCTCTGACCACATACAGGTCAGGAATGCACACCCTCAGGGCTGTGCTCATGCGGATTACTCTAGACCAGTGGTTCTCAACCTTCCTAATGCCGCGACCCTTTAATACAGCTCCTCATGTTGTGGTGACCCCCAATTTCATTGTTACAAATTGAACATGATTAAAGCATAGTGATTAATCACAAAAACAATATGTAATTATATATGTGTTTTCTGATGGTCTTAGGCAACCCCTGTGAAAGGGTTGTTCGGCCCCCAAAGGGGTCGTGACCCACAGGTTGAGAACCACCGTTCTAGACTGAGGGGGCAGGGCTCATGGAGGAGGAACAGGAAAAGGAGAGTACAGAAAAACCAATGCCAAATGTGTTATCCACATCACTGAGCGGGAAAAGAACAGCACCAGCGATGAGCACGCTGTCTGTAAGCAGACCCATCGCTCAAGAGATCCGGAAGGCGTTGCTGTAATCCTGTGACTGTGTGGCCAAGGCCTGAACCCTCCGCCAGGCGGGGAGGAGAGTGGGACCACAGCGGCACCCAGGCAACTGACCTATAAACAAAAGGGTTTGTGGTTCCAATAAATTCATTGGGAAGAATGCACAGATGTGACTGACCACCACACACTTTTGGTTGAAAAAGAGAATTGCTAACGATCTACCCAAAGTTTTAACTAGATCCAGAGTAGAAGCAGATGAAGCGCTTGGCCGCCATTTAACCAGAAGTAGCATCTCTCCCTGGCACGGGACAGGCAGGGCCTACACTCTGTTGAAACTTGTCTCACTTTTGAAACTGTCACTGAGCCCAAAGCACAGCCAATGGGATTCATTGTAAGTTTGATCTTTTTTATTTCCAAGAACATTATCATCTTCGAAGCCTCTGTCTTCATCTACTGAGTTTATTCTTCTCGCAGCAGCCCCTGAAACACGCAGGTTCAGGCAAGAGGAAGAAGAATCTAAATCAAGCTGCAGATCTTATAACCCATCTAATCACAAGGACAGACTCAGGCTGGAGGCACTGCCTGTGGCCAGTATGCAGACGGTCAAGTCATGGACAAGGAGGCAAGACTAAGAAACTGTCATGACCAGGGGGAATGGGGACTCATGACAACTAAATGCGGGAGCTGGATGGGACCCGGGAATGGAAAGGGGACATGAGAGGAAGAACTGGTAAAATCTGAGCAAGTCTGGAGTTTGGTGAATAGCCATGTGCCAATGTCGGCCTCTCAGGAAGATGCTAACGTGGGAGACGAGTGAGGGCTGTACGGGAACTCTCTGTCCTACCTTTGTCACTTTTCCATACATCTGAAAGGATTCCAAAATAAATGTTTATTTCTTCAAAATAAGTTGTCTAAACAGAAGGACTAGCCTGGGCTGACGGCTCAGAGAGCGTGGCTGCTGTCCTCAGGCTATGAAGATTGGCAGGGAAGCGCCACCTTGGCGAACCCACAGCACCAAGCAGGACTGGTGAGCCCAGGGCCAAAAACAAAATAAGTTAAAATAATGAAATTAAATAACGTCAACAGCAGCATCGCATACTAACTGACTCATCCTGTGCCGGACCCTGGGCGTGTGCTCTACACACATTTTTTTTCTAATTTAATTCTCAAAATAACCCAATGAGGTGGTGCTAACGATGTGGGGGAAAGAACTAGAGACTCCTCACGTGCAAGTTAGCTGAGTAGTTCATTAAACATGCGTAGCCCAGGAGAATCTACAGAGTATTTTCCTATTTCATCCTCAGGGGGATGAGAAGGAAGTCACTGTTCCCATTTCACAGATGGACACAGGGAGGCTCAGAGAAGAAAGTGCTTCCTCCAAGATGGCGGCACTGTAAAGAGCAAAGGGGGTGCCCTGCTGATCCAGAGCTACACGCAGACCTTTCCACTCTGTGACCCCTCCTAGAAAAGGCAGCCACCACACACCACACCACCATGGGCTCCAACCACCAGCAAGCAGGGATCTAAGATGGCAACGGGCCAACCTGCCACCCCTGCACCCACCTCCAATAGGACAGACTTGCTGCTCAGAGCCAAGACCAGAGAAGTGAGCGAGGAGGGGTGTCCTACCAGGTGACCAGTGCCGTGACCTCCCGCCCCACCCTGAAGGTGGCTGCCTTTGTTCTGTTGGTTTCACTCAGATGATGACAGCCATATAGCTCACAGAAACTGTTCTTTGTTGCCCCCGTTAGCCCCTGTTCCCACGGGACTGGTTCATCCCTACAGCACATACGCGCAGGACCGGTGGAGACGTACCTGCTAGCATCAGGGCTCGTATGCACTCCGTTCGGCCCTGCATGGCCGCTTTCATCAGGGCCGTGAACCCAAACACGTTCCTCCTTTCAAGGTCAAGACCAGGGAAGTAGTTCAACAAGTAGTTGGTGATGGTGGCATGCCCTGCAAAGAGATGGGCACAGGTGAAGAGACCGCACGCCATGGAGACCCCTCATTCCAGGGAGGTCTTCCTGGAGAGAGAGGAACGGCGCCTGGCCCACCTCCCAGGCCAGCCCGTCTGCGGGGTGTGGGTTTGCCCCTCAGACAGCAAGAAAGAATTCACAGGGACACGTGGCTGTCTCTGCTGCTTTACTCTTGTTCCCTTCACTGATCCATTGGGAGCTCAGCTGTCCTGTCACATGTTAAGGAGGAACGTGAGTAGCCAGGATGCTGCGGGGTGGCGAGCAGAAGTGCTGAGCTGCCTCAGCAGACCCTGCTGGTCAGGGGAAGGTCCTGGTGCTGTCGGCTCCCAGCAGGAGACACCCGTGCCCAGATGCAAACCCAAACGTGCCTCTCAGGGCCACTTCCCAGGGCTCCCAGGCTTCAGGGAGGAGAAAGCCGTCTTCGCAGCAGGAGGATATGCCAGCGCACACTGCCACCCTCTGTTATTGCTCAAAAGTGTCGGTCCCTGTCTTTCATACACACAAGCACACGAACACACACACACACACACACACACACACACACACGCATGCAGGGAACACAGCCAGTGTTGCTACCAAGATCCTCAGCCAGAAACCAGAAACCCAAGCAGGTAAGAATACTCATTTGAGAATACAGAGTTCTCCCCTTTATTGTCTTGCACTTCCAAGAGACCTGATTTTCTGCTCACTCTTACCCTCTTAAGTAGAAGGGGAAAAGGAAAACGTGATGTAAAAAGCAGTATTCCCAGGGGTCTCCAGGCCCCCCCACACACACCAGAAGTGGGAGCTTTCCTCAAACAGGGCTCCATGAGCCACAAAGACAGGCTCTTGGGTCAAAGGGCCAAGCAGCCCGATGCCCACTGGCCATCATTCTTAAGCCCTTGTGTGAAAGAACACACCACCCTCCCCTACTCCAGTGCCCTGGAGCAGGGTCCCAGCCCTGGCGCTAGTGACACCTGGGGCCAGATTATTCTCAGGGTAGGGCCGCCCAGTGTACTGTAGACCCCTGGTCTCCAACCACTGGTTGCTGGTAGCAACCACACCCCTCCTCCCACCCTGGCTGTGACAACTCAAAATGTGTCTAGACCAGTGGTTCTCAACCTTCCTAATGCCGCGACCCTTTAATACAGTTCCTCATGTTGTGGTGACCCCCAACCATAAAATTATTTTCGTTGCTACTTCATAACTGTAATTTTGCTACTGTTATGAATCATAATGTAAATATCTGATATGCAGGATGTATTTTCATTGTTACAAATTGAACATAATTAAAGCATAGTGATTAATCACAAAAACAATATGTAATTATATATGTGTTTTCCAATGGTCTTAGGTGACCCCTGTGAAAGGGTCGTTCGACCCCCAAAGGGGTCGCGACCCACAGATTGAGAACCGCTGGTCTAGACATTGCCAAATGCCCCCGGTGGGGCAAAATCACCCCACAGAGAAGCACTGTCCTAGAGGGTCAAACCTCATTGTTTCAGGACTGACCACACCAAGGTGGAAGAGAGCTTCCTCTGCTCTTCACCTTCCCTCGGCCTCCGACCCCCAGGACCACCTTTCAGCTGCATCTCCATCCGGACCCACGGATGATGGCTAGCCATCCCTGGGGAGTGGGAGCAGACTATGGAAGCCCTCTCCTGGGCCAGCTGGCCGTGCTGGGTGCCCAGTCCGCATCCTTATACACGGAAGATCCAGCTCTCTGAAATGCCCCATCCATCCCTACCATATACATGGGCCTTTGGAACTGACACTGTAGAGTTGCAGGTGTGGGGCCCCGTGGGCATGGCAGTCACTCTCTGTCCTTAACTGGGCACCACCCCCTGCCCCAGGAGGCCTCTGCACCACGGAGAGGCCAGGACCATGAGGCTCCTTCCAGCTGATTTCAGGAAGGGCGCTGGGTGAGATTGGGGATGTGGCAGGAGGAGAGGCCTCCTCCTGAGGATGGGCAGCCTGGAGACACGGGTGCTTCCCTGGGGCTCACCTGACTGCCCGGCAGGTGGCAAGGATGTGAGCAGAGAGCGTCACCCAACATCATCTCTGCCCACAGCAGCAAGGAATTTCCGCCCTCCCATCCCCCAAGGCAGAGACTGGGACCCAGGTTCCTTCCTTGCAGGGCTGCTGCCCAAGCAGGATCAAATCCTTCTCATCAACTTCCAAGTTAAAAACAAACAAGCAACCAAAATGAGACTGCGGACTCTTCTAGAAGCACTGTTGTCTGCCCGCCATTGACCTCAGCCCATCTCCTGAACTCACCGCAAAATTTAAAAAGAGAAACATGTCGCTTTTCTGGGAGAGAAACACTGACTAATATGACCATGTTGTGGGTTAACCAGCCAGAAACGGGTGGGGGCCACCCTCCGGCTCTGTGACTCACAGGTTCCCACAGCATCTGATGCCTTTTGACTCATTTCAGCCACCTGGCCCTCCACAGTGCCAGGGGCGGGGCTAACGCTAGCAGGCAGGTGCCCACGGCACCTTAATTGCTCTAAACTGGGGGGAAAGGGTCCTCTGGTCTCAGGTTTGTTGTCCAGTTCAATGCTCTGCGGCACCTGCCAGTCAGATTTAGCCAGGGTCCTAGTGAAACCAACTGCAATTTGTTTCGAGCCATTTCTTTAAAGCCGTGAAAGAGCGTATCTGTCACAATTCAGCATGATGCCCTTTGCCCTGACATATTCTAAATACTTTGAACAGGCAGAGAGAGGAAAATTGAAAGTCCACAAAGCAAACAGCCCATTATACAGATCTGTTCTGCATATTATGTTGAGCTCAGAAAAACCAACACAGGGCCAACTCATTCTGACTACAAGCATAAGCTTTCAACAACCCGTGAAATCACTCCTGGCTCCCCACTGACTTTCCCAGAGTAGCAGAATAGTACCTCTTAGCACACAGATGACCTCATTCAATGAGATCAGGGTGGACCCGATGCCTCTAAAAATGTGTAGATATTAATATTTTTCTTAAAAACCATGCCGATTAACCAAAGGGAGCTTCCCTTTTTCAGAGAGAAAAATAGATAGAACACAGCCTTCCTTGCATAACAAAAGCCAAACTTGTACCATATTGAAATCTAGTTTGAGCCTAGTCCAACTTAGAATAGGATTTATAGGATTCCCTCAAGTCCTCAGAGAAAGCCCTTTCAAAGGGTGGACTCACCATGCAGACCCCAAGAACACCTTTCCCCCAATGATGCTTACCTTGCCTAAGAGAAAGACACAGCTGACCCAAGGAATAAGTCCATGTGAAATACCTTTAGTGGGGTGATTAAACAACAGTGTAGAGACTTTAGCACTTGAGACAGTTGGCTCTGAGAACACTCAAGTTCAAGTCCCCAGCCCGCCACTTAAAATCTGAGTGACCCTGGGAAGGGGAATCAACTTCACTGAGTCCCTGTTTCTACATCTGGAGAATAAGAGATAATATCAATCTCACAATTGTGAAAATTATAAGAGATAATGTGTTGTATAAAAAGTGCCTGATACAAGAAACACGTTTCTGGGCAGAAAAGTTCCAAATAATTTATGCAGGCGCGCCACTCTCAAGGAGGTGGAGCACAGCAATGCACCCCTTAACTCGTGGGTTCCCTCCAGAGAGTAGAACACGGAAAGGTGGGAGGGGAGAGAACTTCTCAATAGAGAAACCTGGCAGACACAGCCTCAGCCAGGTGACCAAGATCAACATCAACCTGTTGTTGACAAATCACATTGATAGCAGGAACTCACAAACAGTCTGCTTGACGGAACTTTAGTCAGGTTCCTGAACTTTCTCCTAGGCCAGTGATGGCAAACCTTTTGAGCTCGGCGTGTCAGCATTTTGAAAAACCCTAACTTAACTCTGGTGCCGTGTCACATATAGAAATTTTTTGATATTTGCAACCATAGTAAAACAAAGATTTATATTTTTGATATTTTATATATTTAAATGCCATTTAACAAAGAAAAATCAACCAAAAAAATGAGTTCGCGTGTCATAGGTTCGCCATCACTGTCCTAAGGCCTAGGAAGAGCCACACTCAACGGGCCAAAGAGCCACATGTGGCTCGCAAGCCGCAGTTTGCCTACCACGGAGCTAGGCTATCCCTTATCCCTGATGTTTCCTCTGAATTTTCCATCTACTGACTTTCACCTTGCTTCTTATGGTGGGGGCTATAAAAACCACATTTCCTTGTTGTATTTGGAGTGGAAGCCAATCCCTCAAGCATGTCAAACTCGCGGCCAGCGGGCCGCATGCCTCTACCCCATGGCAAAACCCCAATGCTGTGGTCCCTATACCTATCAAGCTGATCCTGATGAGGGTCTGCCTTACCATCTGTAACAAGTGTCACTGAATATCTTTTTTCTTTAACAGCACCCTTGATATGATGTAATGAGGATGGCACTTTCCTCTGTGGTCCTCCTCCCCAAAACCCATAACTGCAGTCTAATCATGAGGAAAACATCAGACAAATCCCAATTGAGGAACATTCTACAAACTACCTAACAAGTACTCCCCAAACTGTCAAAGTCATAAAGTCTGAGAAACTTCATAGCCAAGAGGAGCCTAAGGGGACGTGACCATTAAATGTAATATGGAGTCCTACATGGGATCCTGGAACAACAACAAAGGATATTAGGAAAACACTGAGGAACTTGGAATAAAGAATAAACTTGAGTGAATAATAAAAAAATGCATCAAGATTTATTCATTCATTGTGTCAAATGTATCATACTAATTCCAGATCCTAAGAACAGGGGAAACCAGGTACAGGGTAAACAGGAACTCTCTGTATAATTTTTGCAGTTTTTCTGTAAGTCTAAACTATTCTAAAATCAAAGTTTATTTTATAAAAGGGAGATCTAGCGTAGGGCCACTGGACAAGACACAAGGTAAGGATGATGACTCTTGGCTGGCTGCCAGGTGTGGGTCCCTCCACACTGTCCCCATCCCTTACTGATGCTGAGGGGAGCTCGCTGAGAGGCTGTGATGGGCATGCAATGG